GGGAACCAGTTTAGAACCGGGTGTTACAGGCTTTAAAAAAAAAAAAAATCAAAACTACAATGTATTAAAATCAAATGTACTTTGTAAGTTAAACATGTAGACTGACGTTTTACTTTACTTTGGCTTTTTTTTTTTTAAAGCAAGGTGTCATGTGACCTGGAGCTTGCCCCTAATTCTCTGAGTACCCAAAATAACCTTGAACTTCTGATTCTCCGCAGTTTACCTCCTGAGTGTGGGTGTCACAGGCACGTGACACCACGCCCAGCTTTTACTGTTTGGAAAGGGACCTCACTTCCTGTATATGTCAGATTACCCTAGGTGTCTCAGTGACTCTCTTGCCTTCACTTTTCACGTACTGGGATTTCAGTACTGCACCACCTGCACTTCAAAATGCCATCTGACACCGAGCCACACCTGAAAACCCATAGGAGGGCAGAAAAGGAGCCTGGCATTATGGTTCCTGCGTACAATTCCAGCAACCGAAGAGGATTGTACTAAGCCTGCTGCTAGCCTGAGCTATGTTGTGAGTTCAAGGCCAGCCAGGGCTACACAATAAAACCCTGTTTCAAAACACCCTCTCCCTTCCCAAACTAGCAAGACAGAGAAGGGGAAAATACCTTTTTTTTTTTTCATGAAATTCCACACCTTTCTTTCCCTAAGTCATGACTAGCCCTCATGCATTAGAGTCTGCCCTTTAAAATGGCTATTTTTCTGTTACCTTCTGCTGAGTAGCTCCCACTCCCTCTTCAGTCTGTATGCTGGCTAGTTTTATGTCAGCTTGACACAAGATTAGAGACATCGCAGAGGAGGGAACCACAACTGAGAAAATGTCTCCCAAAGACTGAGCTGTAAACAATCCTGTCAGGCATTTTCTTAACTAGTGATTCATGGGGGAGGACCCATCCCATTGTGGGTGGTGCCATCCCTGGGCTGGTGGTCCTAGGTTCTATAAGAAAGCAGGATGAAGCCAGGTGGTTGGAGTGGTGGTACACACACCTTTAATCCCAGCACCCGGAAGGCAGATACAGGTGGATCTCTGTGAAGACAGCATCGTCGATACAGTGAGTTCCAGGACAGACTCCAAAGCTACAGAGAATCCCAAAGGGGGAAAAAAAACAAAAACAAGTTGAGCAATCCAGTAAACCGCACCCCTCTATGGCCTTCACAGCAGCTTCTGCCTCCGGGATCCTGCCCTGAGTTCCTTCCTATCCTGATCCTTCGACATTATGATCAGTGGTAAGTAAGTGTAAGCCAAATAAACCCTTTTCTCCCTTTTCTCCCCAACTTGCCTTTTGGTCATGGTGTTTCATTGCAGCAACAGAAATTCTTCCTAAGACTTCCTGACTGTGGAAGGACTTTGGAGCTTTGTGCAAGAAAAGCCACTGAACTTTTAGCACTTCATGAGCTATTCTGTAGACGTTTGGAAGATAGGAATGTTGAGGGCCAGACAGACCATGGAGGCCTGGCTTGTGAAGTTTCAGAGAGAAGTTTAAATACTGTCAGGGTCATTTATTATTCTAAATTAAGATTCTTGGTTCTTGTTATCTGGGACTGAAAAGAATCAGCTGTGAATAACAGGAGACCAGAATTACTAATGAATCCTTTGCTTTGCTGGAATAGCCAATGCTGGTTGGCGGGAGCTGAAAGATTAGTGATGACTAAGAAGAGACCAGCGTTGTCAGGTGAAATCTTCTGGGAAATGTTGGCTCAGGGTCAGCACACATAAGCTGTGTTCCGGAAGTGGTCAGGGTTTTACCGTGTGCTGGCAGCTGAACTTGGTAGTGTAAGAGTCACCCAGGTGGTGCTGGTTTCGAAGGCATGAAGAGATCGTGGAGAGCAGCTGAGGCTTGGCCCCGTGAAAGACCAGGCGAGGCCATTGTAGAAGGTGAAGACCCAGGACTGAGGGGGTCATGCAGAGAAGCTGAGGCTTGGCACCATGAAGAGAGCCTATGAGAGACCAGTGGTGAAGGTACAGCCCAGTTGCACAAAAGACCCCAGCATTTTAGAGATGCCAGTGCCAAGAGACAAGCACCGTCGAGTGGAGCTAGAAGACAAGGTGAGTGTGATGAAGAGGACAGAGTCAGAGAAGTGACCCAAGCTCCCTGGAGGAGCACAGAAAAATGCCATTGCATCCCAGACTTAGATGCTGAGTCATTTACCATTGGGGGAGTATGGTTTTGCTTTGATTGTCACTCTTCCCTGGTTCTTCCTCTTGACCTGAGAACGCAATTTATTATTATTTTAAGGAGCCCACAGTTGAGAGACTTAGAATTTTAAAAGACTTTTTATTTTAGGACGTTGGCTATTTTTTTTAAAAAGACTGACCTTTTAATGCACTTGAATTTGTAAGGACTGTAGGATTTGCAAAGGTATATTTTTAATGTGAGATTTTGGGGATGAATGAGAAAGGAAAGGTTGTGGTTTAGCAATGATGTCTTTGCGTGTCAAACTGACAAGGGGTTAATTTGCTGGACAGTTTTATGTCAAATTGACAGAAGTTAAAGTCATCTGAAAGGAGGAAATCTCAATTAAGAAAATGCCTGCATAAGATCTGATTGTAGGGCTGGAGAGATGGCTCAGCGGTTAAGAGCATTGCCTGCTCTTCCAAAGGTCCTGAGTTCAATTCCCAGCAACCACATGGTGGCTCACAACCATCTGTAATGAGGTCTGGTGCCCTTTCCTGGCTTGCAGGGATACACACAGACAGAACATTGTATACATAATAAATAAAACAAAGTTAATATTTCTAAAAAAAAAAAAGATCTGATTGTAGGCATACCTTTAGAGCATTTTCTCAATTAGTGACTGATGGTGCCGCCCCTGGGCTGTGGTCCTGGGCTCTATGAGGAAGCAAGTTAAGCTAACCATGAGGAGCAAGTCAGTAAGCAACGCTCTTCCATGGCCTCTGTATCAGCTCCTCCCTCCAGCTTCCTGCCCTTGTTTGAGCTTCTGTCCAGACTTCTTTGATGATATGGAAGTATAAGTCAAATTAACCTTTCTTCCCCAACTTGCCTTTTGCTCATGGTATTTCATAGCAGCAATAGAAACCTTAATTAAGCCAGTTTGTACTTATACCTTATAATAAAACGTTCTGGCCTTTCGCCACCTGACGCCACCGAGGTCACACGCGGGAGGCGGTCCGCAGCAGCCGACACGCCTTAGGTCCCCTCTTTTTTGCTTGCTGCCTTTGGGGGCAACTCCTCTCCTAGCGCCAAAGACTTTAAGAAGATACTAGACAGCGTGAGCATCAAGGCGGACGATGACCGGTTCAACAAGGTCATCAGTGAGCTGAATGGAAAAACATTGAGGATGTCATCGCCCAGGGTGTTGGGAAACTTGCCAGTGTGCCTGCTGGTGGGGCTGTGGCTGTTTCTGCTGTCCCTGGCTCTGCAGCTCCAGCAGCAGGTTCTGCCCCCTTCCCACGCCCCCCTCCCGCAGAGGAGAAGGATGATGACATGAGATTTGGCTTGCTTGATTAAATCTCTGCTCCCCTGCAAATAAAACCTTTCTATGTATCTTGGAAATAAATAAATAAAACGTTCTGTTTCCTTTACAAAAATACTTATGAGGGACTAGGGAGATGGTTCAGCAGTTAAGAGCACTTTCTGTTCTTGCAAGGGACAGGGATTCCCATAACCCACATGACAGCTCACAATTGTCGGTAACTGCAGGCCCAGGGGATCTGAAGCCCTCTTCTGACCTCTGAGGGCACCAAGCTCCCACATAGTGCAAGGCTGGAGGGACTGGAGGACTGGAGGGGGCTCAGCAGTTAAGAGCACTGGCTGCTCTTCCAGAGGACCCAGGTTCAATTCCCAGCACCCACATGGGAGCTAACAACTGTCTGTAACTCCAGTTTCGGTGATCTGACACCCTCACACAGACATATGCAATGTGAATAAAATAAAAATAAATTATAAAAAATAAGTAAAACAAGCAAAACATTTATAAACTTGTGAATGGTGGGAAAACTAAAAGAAAGAAAATAATCTATATAAGAATGTTCACAACTGCATCCCTAACAGCTTCAAATTGTAATAATATCACAAAAGGATAAACTGTGGCATAATAGTAGATAGTAGACAAGGCAACAGCAAAAGCAACGAGTCTCCCCCCCCCTCTCTTCCTGCCCTCCCTCCCCAGATCTATCTCTATGTCTGTGTCCTCTTGGTTTTTAAAGATCAAGAGGAAGAAGAAAAAAGTAAACCTTTACTAATTCCCCTAGCTACAGGGCTGGAGAGATGATGGTTCAGTGGTTAAGAGCACTGAATGCTCTTCTAGGGAACCCAGGTTCAATTCCCAGCACCTACATGGCAGCTAACAACCATTAACTCCAGGATCCAACACCCTCACACAGACACACATACAGGCAAAACACTAATAATAAAATAAAATATAAATAAATAAATAAATAAAAATTCTCCCCCCTAAATCCTATCCAGCTCCTATGGCAAAATCTGAAAGTTGGCTCCTGAAAGCGATTTTCAACTGATAAACGTACTTTGCTTACTGATAGCGTATTGTGGTGTAGCGCCTGCGGGATTTTTTTTTTTTTTGTCCTGAAATGCAACTTCAAAAGGAAAGCGTCTGCCACGGAAAAGCAGACTATTCTCCTTCGCAGTCCCTTTGTCTTTTAAATCAAATCAACCTAATTAGATTTTTACTTCCAGCAAAGCGTCTAAAGACGCTGTCAGTTTGAGACCGTAGACTTTGATATTAGGTCACTGGCCGGGGCAGAGTAACTGAGTTCCGGTCAGCAGAGAGCGACCGGCAACTTTTCTCCATCTCCCAACAGCCAGGCCAGGAGTTCTCAGTAGCAAGGCGTCTGCGCCAAAGGAACCAGGTCGTCTTCTCCCCGCCCCAACTCCGTCCCCCGGGCGGCGCCCCGCCCCCCAGAGCGGCGCCCCGCCCCTCAGAGCGACGCCACGCCCCCGAGCGTGGTGAGGCGCCTGCTGCTCTGTCTCTATAGAAACCGCTACTGCTTTCCTGTGGCCATAAGCAGAATGGCGGCTGGGGAGTCGAGCTATCTAGGTGGCTTCTACTTCAGATTTCTGCCTCAGAGAACTTTCTCATCCCTGAGCACCCGGGAGATCACCAGTCGGCTCCGCCAGTGGTGAGGAGCGAGAGGTGGGAGCGGCCACGCTCCCGTCCCGTGGACTTAGGGCCGCGCTCGGGGTTGCAGCTCTGCGCTCAGGGATCCGGTCTCGGGGATGCGGCTCTGCGCTCCAGTGTCAGAGATCCGGGCTCGGGGATCCGGGGTCCGGGCTCAGGGATGCGGGCTCCGGACTCTGCACTCTGCTCCCAAACTCCGGCCCCAGCCCACTGACTCTCCCCCTCTGCCAGGTCCATGCTGGGCAGAATCCAGGCGCAGGCGTTCAGCTTCGACCAGACGTTCCAGCCCTACCAGAAGGATGATTTCGTCATGGTTGGTATGGGGGGAGGGATCTCTTCTGAAGTTCTTGGGAATACTCCATGACATGTTCTTGGAGTAATAAAATGTACAGGTTGGGTTTTCTTTTTTGTTTCTTAGGGGACTTTTGAGACAGTGTCTCATTCTGTATCTGGCCTGGCACTCCCCGGATCCCCTAGCTTCTGCCTCCCAAGGGCCACCACGACCGCCTTGCAAACAGCATCTTTTACCTACCTTTGGTATTCTTCCTTAGATAACTTTACAATTCTGTAATGTTTTTAGACAGTCTCACTGTAATTCTGATGGCCTTGAACCCATGTCAGTCATCCTGCCTCAGCATCCCCTGTGCTGGAATACAGGGTTGTGCTACCAATTCTGACTGAACATTGTGAGGGGTATTTTTTTTTTAATAAGTACATCTTGTTTTTAAGTACTGTTACCTGGCTTTATCTCTGACTTTATTAAGCTTAACTCTAAATACTTCTGGTTTCTGAAAGTCACATTCATCCTGAGAAGGGGACCTCAAGTCCCAACATGGTGCCCAAACAGGACTTCCTCCCAAAGGTGTCAAGCAATGGCCTGTCTGGAAAAAGCCTTAAACTGGAGAGGAATTCTTTGAAGAAGGCAAAGTTCATTCAAAGGCGTGAATCTTAAAACCCAGCCCCACTGTTTTCAATGTTGTCTCTTACCCGACAAAGGGAAAGTATTGTTAGGTTTGTGCAGTGACCTTCATTTGTTTTTGCCATTGTCCTCTGAGTATTGGCTTTAGTTTATAGTTCACATGTAATGTATTCACCCTGACACTTCTTGAAGGCCCACAGTATGCTAGAAACTTCTCAATAGCTGGAGATAGAAAAGAGTCAAAGGATGGTCTTTGAAGAATGTTCTGTCCTTAGCAAGAATGCCAGCAAATAACACAGGTCATCTTACACACTGCCAAGAGTGAAGAGAGAAAGTCTCCTAATTCCGAAGATCAGAAGTGGTTCACTCTGCCGAAACCTGTAGAGGTGAATCTTTGCCTGCTGCTGGCTCTGGCTGGGCAGTTTCCCATAGTTCTTGTCGTTACTTCTAAAGACACCAGTCATACTGGATTAGTACCATCCTACACCATTGACAGCTGCAGTGGCCCTCTTCCTGAGGACACTTTCTGAGCTGGAAGGAAGGGCCTGAACTGACTTAAATTTGTTCACTTTCCTTTACCTGTGATAGGGTTATAATGCCACTGTAGTGTAATGATACTATTATGACATGTCTGATGCTGTATGATGTCTTATTATTTTGCCTTTGTGGGGGGGGGGCACTATCTAGCTCCCAAATGAATCACACGCGAAGGCTTATTCTTAGTTATGAATGCCTGGCCATAACGTGGCTGGTTCTAGCCAGCTTGTCCTAGCTTTAATTATCCCCACTACCTTTTGTCTCTGAGCTTTTATCTTTCTTACTTCTGTATGTCTCACTTTCCTTCCTGTTCCATGGCTGGCTGGGTGACTGGCCCCGAGTTCCTCCTTTCCTCATTCTCTTGTTCCTCCTTTTTCTCATTTCTCCTGCTGTTTATACTATCTGCCAGTCCCGCCTGTCCTTGCTCCTGCCTCACTGCTGGCTGTTCAGCTCTCTATTAGGACCATCAAGTGTTTTAGACAGGCAAAGAATCAAGGCTTCTCAGTCAATCAAATGCTGCATAAACAAAACACACCTGAAAATAATATTCCCCAACAGTCTCAGTTTATTTGTGGCTAGATTTTGATAATTAACCAGGACTGGCCCTCAACTATTTTTATTTCTTACTCTTCTTTCATACAAAACATTCTGACCACAGCCTCCCATCCCTCCACTCCTAGCGCTACCCCCCCCCAACATCCCCTCTTCTGCAGATCCACTGCACCTCCATTTCCCTTTACAAACAAAGAAGCCTCCCAAGCTATTAACTGAGCATGACATCACAAGATTCAGTAAGAATGGACACAAACCCTCATATCAAGACTGGGTAAGGCAACCCAGTAGGAGGAAACGGATCCTAAGAGCAGGCAGAAAAGTCAGATACACCCCCACTCCCACTGTTAGGAGTCCCTAAAGAACACGAAGCTGCCCAACTGTCACATATATGTAGAGGGCCTAGGCAGTTGTCTGTTCAGTCTCTGTGAGCCCCTCTGAGTTCAGGTTCGTTGATTCTGTGTTTTCTTGTGGTGTCCTCATCTCTGGATCCTACAATCCTTACTCCCCATCTTCCGCAGGGTTCCCTGAATGCCACCTACTGTTTGGCCATGGCTTGATGCATCTGCTCCCATCAACTCCTGGAAGAAGCCTCTCTGGGGTCAACTGTGCTATATATTTATCAATCTATAAATATAGCAGAATATTGTTAGGAATCATTTATTTTTTCTTGTCAGTACTGTTTGGTCTACCCTAGGTCTCTGAGCTGTCCAGCTTCTAGTCCCTGGCCATCTAAGCATACTTAACTTTTTTAAGACCAGAATTTTGGAATGCTGTAAATTTTTTTCTTTTTATTTATTTTTGAGACAGGCTCTTACTGTATGGCCCTGGTTGGGCTCAAACTGAGAGATCTGCCTGTCCAAGTCCTGGGACCAAAGGTGTGCTTCTCTTAAATTTTTGGTTGTGAGCCCAGCCTTTAACGGCTGAGCCATCTCTCCAGTCCTGGTGTGTGATTCTCAAATAAGAGATCTGCCTGTCCAGGTCCTGGGACTAAAGGTGTGTGTTACCACAACTGGCTTTTTTCTTTGATACTTTTTTTGTTTTAATATATAACTTTTTGTGTGTTTGTTTGTTTTTAAAGACAGGGTTTCTTTTTGTAGTCTTGACTCTCCTAGAACTAGCTCTGTAGACTATGGCCTCAAACTCACTGAGATCCACCTGCCTCTGCCTCCTATGTGCTGGAATAAATGACATGCAACCACTCCCCCAGCTCATCTGTAACTTTTAATATCCCTGTTTATTTATTAAATATTTCTTTAATGCTTTACCCCACTCGGGAGTAAGATAAGACCTCTTCCCAGATTGTAAGGCACACACAGTATCAACAAACCAGGTTCCACAGGACACTGAAATAGTGTTCTGATAGGTGCTGTAGAAAATGTCCTGGGACAGCAGGGAGGGTCACTTATTGCCAGGAGAGAAGGAGTACATGTCTTCCTTTTTTTTCTTTTTGGTTGCTCAGTAGAGCTCTTAAGCAGGTTCAATATTTAATCATAAAATTCAATAGATTTCTTTCCATAACCCCAAGCATTTCTGTAGTGAGGAGACGAGCAGGCCTGCTTTTCATCCCGCCCTGCTCCAGCATAGTTAGCTTTACACCTGAAATAACAACACACAAATTGTATTCTTTTAAACACTGCTTGGCACATTAGTTCTACCCTCTTATTGGCTAATTCTCACATCTTGTTTAACCCATTTCTAATAATCTGTGTAGCACCACGAGGTGGTGGCTTACCAGAAAAGATTCTAGCCTAAGAGGAGAGCTATGGCATCTGCCTGAATCTGCTTCTTTCTCCCAGCATTCTGTTCTGTCTACTCTGCCTATCTAAGCTGCTGTCCTATCAAAGGGCCAAGGCAGTTTCTTTATTAACCAATGAAAGTAACACATTGACAGAAGACCCTCCCACATCACATTTCTTTCTCATTTTAAAGTTCTTCTTGTGCTAAGGATGTAGCTGAGGTGGTAGGATACTAGTTTAGCATGCATCTCCATACTACATAAACCAGGCATGGTGATATACACCTATAATCCCAGCACTAGGAAGATGGAGGCAAGAGGATCAGAATCTGTTGTTCAAGGTCACCTTTGGACCAGGTCATCTCAAAAACCAATTAAGATTCATAGTTTAAATATTGGGGATCCAGTGTTGTAGACAGAAGTTTCAGTCCTGCCTTGTACTGCCCCCATTCAGTCCCAGAGAAAGACACAGAGGCTTATATTATTTATAAACTATTTGTCCTATTAGCTCTGATTTATTGTTAAGTAGCTCTTACAACTTAAATTAACCCCTAATTCATTTCTGTGTTTAGCCATTTGGCTTGGTACCTTTTCTCAGTAAGTCATTCTCACCTTTCTTCCTCTGTGTCTGGGTGGTGACTGGCTCTCTGCCTTTCCTCTTCCCAGAATTCTCTTAGTCTGTTTACCCCACCTATACTTCTACTTGGCTACTGGCCAATCAACTTTTTATTAAACCAATATGAGTGACAAACCTTTACAGTGTTCAAGAACATTATCCCACAGCACAGTGTGGAGGCGCATGCCTTTAATTCTAGCACTCAGAATGCAGAGGCAAGTGTATCTCTGTGAGTTTGAGGCCAGCCTGATCTACATAGTGAATTCCAGGACAGCCAGGACTACACCAAGAGACCCTGTCTAAAACAAACAAATAACTAAAATGCTGGAGAGCCGAGGAAGTGACTCAGTGGCGGAGTGCTTACTTAGCATATGCGGAGACCTGAGTTCCATCTCTGGCACTGAAAAATGTGCATACGATTCTTTGAAGTTTTGTTAAAGATTTATTTGTGGGGCAGGAGAGATGGCTTAGCTTTTAAAGACTAGAGCTCACAACCAAAATGATGAGATTTATGGGTGTGTCTGTGTATCTATATTTATATCTATGTGTATCTATTGTATGTACCTATGCCTAGACCAGAAGAGGATATTGAGTCCCTTGAAGTTTGAGTTGCATGCTTTGTGAACCATCTTACATGGGGGCTATGCTCAGTATACCAGTCCTTACGATTGAGCAGCAAGTGTTCTTAACCACTGAGCCATCTCTGCAGCCAGTTTTTACACATGTGTATCTGTGTGTAGAGGGCATATGTTCAGGTAGGTAGCACCCATGGAATTGGTCTCTGCAGATGGAGTTGCAGGAGATTGTGAGCTGCCGACTTGAGTGCAAGGAACCAAACCCAGGTCCTCTGCTAGAGCAGTATGCGCTCTTAACCACTGAGTCAGCTTTCCTTCTACTATGTAGTCCAAGCAGGGCTTGACCACCAGGCCTGGCTCAAAAGTACCTTTTTAATAAAGTAATTAAAACCAGGCATGATATCTTTTGTCTAGATTCCCAGCACCCAGAGCCTAAGGTGGGAAGAATGTGACTCCAAGACTAGCCTGGGGTATATAGTGAAACCCTGTTTTCTTTCCTTTTTGGTTTTTTGTTTGTTTGTACAAAAGGTTTCTCTGTGTATCCCTGGCAGTCCTATAACTTGCTCTGTAGACCCAACTGTCCTTAAACTCAGAATTCTACCTGATGGGATTAAAATTGGGTGCCACCATACCAGCTGTAAAGCCCTATTTTCGAAGAAAAATAATTAAAACACTAATGTCAGTTTGGCAGTTTGTAAAAGGCTGATTGCTCTGTGTAGAGTCTGGAAATAGTGAAACAAAATTGGCAACACCTCCAGACAGTGTGTGGTTTCTGCACTGGCAGTATCATGAGGACTGTGGTTGCCTTCTGGACAGTGTTTGGGGAGGCCCTCATTTTAGACTAACCCTAAAAGTGACTCAGAGACATACTTCTGAGGAAAGTGTAAGGACAAAGATTCTGAGAGTAGGGAGAAAGGAACATGTTGGACAAATCCCAGGTTTCTGTTATAGTCTGTTATAGTAGTTATATATTACTCTCTTAAACATGTAAAAGATGGAGAGTAAGTTTAGTGTTGGGTGCATCTGGGTAGCTGTCTTCTAGTTCGTTGGCTGTAAATCTCACTTTAGGGTCTAACGAGAGCTCTATCAGATGTACCCGATAATGAGAAGGACTTTTCCATGTAAACAGTGACAAGTTGTTTATTTTGCAGTTTCCCCAGAAGCTTGCACATGCTCCCATGAACATCTCAGGAGCAGAATTTAGACCATGGCTGCATCCCACCAACCCTAGCAGATGTGGGTGGGCGCATGCCGGCTCTACGGGGTGGGTGTGTTCTCTCATGGCTCCAAACAAGTTCATCTAATCTTTGTGTGCATTTTGATATCTGTATAAATTTGCTACTGCAAACTGGTTTATGAGTCAGCTGCTATTTTAGGAAAGTGCATCAGTTTTCCTAATGTTGATATACAGGAAGTCCCTTCTGATGCCTTGATGTCAGTTTTTTGTTTTTGGGTTTTTTGTTTGTTTGTTTTTGTTTTTTGTTTTTCTCTGTAGCTTAGGAGCCTGTCCTGGAACTAGTTCTGTAGACCAGGCTGGCCTCGAACTCACAGAGATCCCTCTGCTTCCCAAGTGCTGGGATTAATGGCGTGTGCCACCACCGCCCAGCTGATGTCAGTTCTATAACAAACCGACAAAACTCTTTAATTCATTTTTATGAATATAGCTGTAATTTCAATTTTTAAAGAATTGGTTTGACTTACTTAAAAGGCCTTTATTTAATTTTTATTTTATGTACATTGGTGGGGTTTTTTTTTTCACATTCATGTCTGCATGAGAATGTAGGATCACCTTGAACTGCAGTTACAAACAGTTGTGAGTTGCTATGTGGTACTGGGAATTGAACCCGGGTCCTCTGGAAGAGTAGTCAGTGCTCCTAACCTTAAGAGGCCTTTATAAAAAGTATTTGGGGACTAAAGAGATGGTTCAGTAGTTAAGAGCACTGACTGCTCTTCCTAAATGACCCAGGTTCAATTCCCAGCACCCACATGGCAGCTTACAACTGTCTGCAACTCCAGTTTCAGGTGATCTGAAACTTCCCATGGCAAAACACTAATGAACATTTAAAAAGAGTATTTTAGGGGCTGGAGATGGCTTAGCATTAAGAACACTTGTTACTGAAGAAGACCTGGGTTTGGTTCTCAGCACCCATATGGTGGTTCACAACAACCTGTAACTCCAGTTCCAGAAGATTCAGTGACCTCTTCTGGGGTACCTTCATACATACAGACCCAAAATGCTCGTGTGCACTAATAAAGTAAAATATCTTTATAAAATCTATTTTAAACACATTTTGATTGGCTTTAGGTCAACTGCTGCAAGTCAGCTGGTCTACTTCTATTTATAGCATTTAAACAGTGGCACTCAGGGTATGAGACAGGGCTGCCTTATATTCTTGATGTTCCTGCCTCCACGTGGCTTCTACGCGCTGAAGATTGTAAGCACATGCCTCATATCTGTTTAATTTCTTTCTTTTAAAAACTTTCCATTGGGGGCTGGAGAGATGGCTCAGAGGTTAAGAGCATTGCCTGCTCTTCCAAAGGTCCTGAGCTCAATTCCCAACAACCACATGGTGGCTCACAACTATCTGTAATGAGGTCTGGTGCCCTCTTCTGGCCTTCAGGCATACACACAGACAGAATATTGTATACATAATAAATAAATAAATAAATAAATAAGAACTTTCCATCATTGTCTGTGTGCATGTTCATGTGCTAGTTGAGCGTGTGCCACCGTGCACACATGGCATTGAAGGACAACTTTGGGAGTCAGTTCTTTCCTTCTACACGGACCCTGGGCATTGGGCGTGGGCCGTAAGCCTTGTGCTTTTTAGCCTCTGAACGATCTCACTGTCCCTTGTTTTCATTTCATTTGTTTCTTTTAAAAAATTCATTAGCTTTTTTCTTAAAGTTCTTCCAGTCAGTGTAATGGCACACACCTTATCCAACACCCAAAAGATAGAAGCAGGGGTCTCAGGAGTCCAGGGATAGCCTGAGGTTACCATGAGTTCCATGTGTGTGCAACACTAGCCTCAATACATGAGGTCCTGTTGCAAAAAAGGAAATATGGGGGCTAGAGAAATGGCTCAGCGGTTAAGAGCATTGGCTGCGCTTTCAGAGGACACAGGTTCATTTCCCAGAGCCCACATGGCAGCTCACAGCTGTCTGTAACTTCTTTTCCAGGAGATCTGATGCCCTCGTACAGATACACTTGCAGGCAAAACACCAATGTTCATGAAATAAAAATAAATAAAATAAAAAAAAACACAAAGTCCTTCAAGCTGGACATAATGGCTTATACCTGTTATCCTAGCACGCAGTATTGAGGCCAGAGGACTGAGGTTTTTAGGGACACTTGGAATACGAAGCAAATTCAAAGCCAGTCTGAGCTACATAATGAGACACTGTCGAAAAGTCAAGGGCTGGGGAAATAGCTCGGGAGTGAGCAGTTGCTCGGTATAGACAAGTCCTGGGTTTGATGCCCAGTACCTTCGGGAAAAAAAACCAAAACAGTAATTAAAGCAGAGCTTTTCTTCTTTACATTAAATGATATTTTATTAATTTTGTTTCAAAAGTTTATTTATGATAAAGTTTCTAACATGTTCCCTTGAAATTTGTATTTTAGGCTTTTTTCAAAGACCCAAATGTCATTCCAAATTTGCAGTTACTTTCAGATTCTTCTGGACAGTGGACCACATTAGGTAAAGAAAATTAATTTTCGTATTTCCAAGTTAACTATTTTAATAAAAGTTTGCCTCAGCAACTATTACTAGTGATTTGTGTCACTAATATACAAATTGAGACATTCATGATGTGTGACCAGCTGTAGCACGCTCGCCCTGCGTCTCTGTCCTGGAAATCTGCTATCATCCTGGCGTAGCACATCAGGGCGATTTTCTCTCAGTAGTTTAGAAAATATACACCCTCTACCTTCCATTTACTCTGCTAACGCTGTTCACATTGAGATGAGTAAAAAGAAAGGGCTCTCAGGAGGTCACTGGTACATTAAGGGATACTGGCTGGAGATGCAGCTCCGCATCCTGAGTGATGCACAAAGATCTGGGTTCAGTCTCCAGCAGCACTGTAGTGGTTTGGAAGAAAATGACCCCCAGAGGGAGTGGCACTACTAGGAGGTGTGGCCTCGGGGTAGGTGCGATCCTACTTGAGGAAGTGTGTCAGTGTGGGGGCAGGCTTTGAGGTCTCACCCATGCTCAAACCATACCCAACAAGGCAGTTCACTTCCTATTGTCTGTGGATCAAAGATGTACGAATTCTTAGAACCTTCTCTAGCACCATGTCTGCCTGCATGCGGACAACCAGCCACCATGCTCCCTGCCATGAAGATAATGGACTAAACCTCTGAAACTGTAAGCCACCACCTCTGGTGAATGTTTTTCTGTTTTTTAATGATTTATTTATTTGCATTGCTGTGTCTATGTAAGGTGTTGGATCCCCTGGAACTGGATTACAGACAATTGTAAGCTGCCGTGTGGGTGCTCAGAATTGAACCCAGATCCTCTGGAAGAGCAGGCAGTGGTCTTAACCACTGAGCCATCTCTCCAGCCCCTAACTGTTTTCCTTTATGAGAGTTGCCATGCTCATGGTGTCTCTTCACAGCAACAGAAAGCCTAACTTAGACAATCATATAAAGCCAAGTATAGTAGTACACCTGTAACTCCTGTAATCCCAACTCTGGGGAGGTAGAGACAGGAGGATCAGAGTTTATACCTAGCAAGTTGAGGCCAGCCTGGGCAATATGAGATCCTGTCTTAATAATAATAACAATAATAATAAATTAAAAAGGGAGAGAGATGTGATGGAGGGAACAAAAAAGAGGGGCTGGAGAGATGGTTCTGTTCAGCAGTTAAGAGACACTGTGCCCTTCCAGAAGTTCACGTCTCGTTGCCCATATATGGCATCACAGCCTGACTCCAGCTTCAGGGGGTCCAGGACCTGTAGCCTCTATGACACCTGTGCATACATGCACACCCTCACATGGACAGATACAGTCACATAATTAAAAATCGTGAAAGACTGTAATAGTACCTTCCAGGTTTTCCTATAGACGTGAGAGTGTGGGAGGGAGATGGCCAGTTCTACCCGGGACAGGTCCGATGACGGGAATTCCTGGGCAGGGTACAGCTGCAGCTCACACGTGATTTTCACAGGAATTGGCTAACCTGGAATTGTTTAGAATAACAAATCATAGAGAAATGACTTCTTAAAGGCAGACCCTTTCTCTAGATGACACTTTAATAATACACTAAAACAATCCTTGAAAATTCTATTTATTTATTTGGTGTGTGTGTGTGTGTGTTGTGTAGGCGTGCGCGCGCGTGTGCATGCGCCTGCCTGCCCATGCAGCATGCCATGTGGGGTCAGAGAACAATTGATTCCTACCAGTTCTTCCAAACGTACACATCCAGCATTTTACCACCTGTGCCGTCATCTCCCCCAAAGACTGCATTGAAAACCAGCATGAATACTATATTTTAGATTCAAGTTTGAGGTTTCAACTGTGGAACTGGTAACGCCATTCCATGCTGAATGGTGTTTTACGCTTTTTTTCTTTTTGGAGGGGTGGCCACCATCCAGCTCTCAAATAAATTACACACAGAGACTTATTCTTAGTTATGAATGTCTGGCATTGGCTTGTTTCTTGTCAGCTTTTCTTACTTAAATTATCCTGACTATCTTTTGTTTATAGGCTTTTACCTTTATCTATTTGTCTATCTTTTTTTACTTTTTTCTCCATGGCTCTCTGTGTAGCTGGGTGGCTGGCCCCGGTGTCCTCCTCTCATTCTCTTGTTGCTCCTCTGTCCCCCTTCCTCCTAGAGTCCTATTTATACTCTGCCTGCCAGCCCTGCCTATCCTTGCTCTTGCCTCACTATTGGCCGTTCAGCTCTTCATTATCAGGTGCTTTAGACAAGGAACAGTAACACAACTTCACAGAGTAAACAAATGCAGCGGAAACAAAAGTCACACATCTGAAAATAATATTCCCCAACAATTCCATTTAGAAAAAGGATCTGTGTATAACAACAGTGTGTAAAATTAGATGAGAACACAGCTTGCACTATGCTAGACAATAAGGAGATGGATATTCCAGTATGTAAAATAACATCACTCTTTTTGATCATTTTTGTATTGGAAAAGTTACTTTTCATAAAAAAGTCACAGTCTCTATTATTAAATGAATAAAGTTGTTTTATAATTCTACAAAAAAAAAAGAAAGAAAAAGGATCTGTGGGCTGGAGAGGGTTAGGGTCTGCCTGCAAGCAGACACGCAGCCAGAACACTATATACTTAATAAATAAAATCTTTTTTAAAAAATTAAAAAGAAAACAGTTCACAGAAGTGTGTGCAGTCTCCGTCAGGCTTCACAGAAAGGCCTGACTTGGTCCCAAGTTTAGTTCAAGTTTTTTTGTTTATTTATTTTGTTTTTCATGATTGTCTTAGGGTTTCTTTTGCTGTGAAGAGACACCATGCCCATGTCATCTCATAAAGAAAACCATTTAATGGAGGTGGCAGCTTATAGTTCAGAGGTTTAGTCCATTATCATCATGGCAGGGAGCACGGTGGCTGAGAGTATGTCCACATGCAGGCAGACATGGTGCTAGAGCAAGCTCAAAGAATTCGTACAAAAGGAAGTGAACTGACTTGCTGGGTATGGTTTGAGCATGGATGAGACCTCAAAGCCTGCCTCCACATTGATCACACCTACTCCAACGAGGCCACACCTTCTAGGAGTGGCACTCCCTCTGGGGGTCATTTTCTTTCAAACAACCACAATGATTTAATTTCTTTTTAATGTATTTTAGATTTTTAAATTATTATTATTATTTTTAGAAACAGGATTTCTCTGTGTAACAGCCTTGACTGTATTGGAACTCTCTTTATAGACCAGGCTGTTCTCGAACTCAGAGATCCACCTGCCTCTGCCTCCCGAGTGCTGTGATTAAAGGCGTGCACCACCACCACCTGGTTTCTATATTTTTAAGCTAACTCTCCAGGCCCAATAGTAGTCTGTCCAGGTGTGCATGGGTGTGGGGCATGCCCTGGAGCATGGGTAACTTACCAGTAAGGCCGTTCTCCCAAAAGAAGAATTCTCCCTCCCCCAGGGACTAACTCCTTCTTAGCTCCCCACCCCCACCCTGCACCCCTGTTGGGATTTAGCCAGCTCAGTCCTGTGCAGGTAAGCACAGCTGTGTGGAGCTGAGGGCAGCTGTCCTGCCATGTCCAGAGGACAGCATTCCACTGCATTCTGTCTGCCGCCTCTAGCAAGTGTTCCCTGAGCTTTTGCTGTTGAATTTAAAAATCACATTTATTTATGGTGTTTGCGTGTATAGGTCAGAGCACAGTTAGCAGAAGTTGGCTCTCCTTCCACCAGGAAGGTCCCAGGGATAGAACTCAGGTGCTGGGCTCATCAGGTCCCTTTCTTCCCCTCTGAGCCATCTCAGCAGACTTTATTCTAAGTGTGAAACAAAGTGTTGCACAAAGAGAGCTTCTGAGATGCCACACGTGCCTGACAGGTAGGAAAAGAACTCTAAAATTAGAAACACTTCACTTGGGTTTGTTTTTTATTTGTATGTACATGTATAGATGTGCATGTGCATGCAGGTGCCCACAGAAACCGGGAAAGGGTGTTGGCTGCCCTGGAGCTAGAGTTAGAGGCACTGAGCTGCCTGACTGATGCTGAGATCTGGAAGAGCAGCAAGTGCTCTTAACCATGAACCTTGTTTGTTTGTTTTTTTAGAGAAAGTGTTTTTTTTAATATTTATTTATTTATTATGTAGCCAATATTCTGTCTGTGTGTATGTCTGCAGGCCAGAAGAGGGCACCAGACCTCATTACAGATGGTTGTGAGCCACCATGTGGTTGCTGGGAATTGAACTCAGGACCTTTGGAAGAGCAGGCAGTGCTCTTGACCACTGAGCCATCTCTCCAGCCCAGCACTCATGTTTTTGAAGAGGAATTTTTTGAATGCTAACAATGCTTTTCTACCAACTTGGCTTCCTTTCCTCTCATTTTTTGCATTTTTTTATTGTTGTTGTTATTTTTCTGGTATATTGATGTCTTCCCCCTCAGTTTTCTTTTTTTTCCCCTCAGTTTTCATTTGGAATCTTTATATCCCTACCCCCAAAATCAGTCTGGATTGCCTAGAGTCTCAACAGCCGGGCTGTTAATTTTGAATTTAAAGCAGTCCTCCTGCCTCAGCCTCTGGAGTGCTGAAGGGCTACAGGCTTGCAGCAGCACACCCACTCTGTGCCATGCTGGGGCTTGAACCCAGGGCTTCACGGAAGCTAGGAAGTGGTTTTCCACCGCAGCTGTCTGCAGCTCAGGAAGGAGGCATGGTTAAGCAGGAGGAGTCTGGAAAGGGACGCCTGTGAACATTTATAGCCCTGCGATCGGGAGACACCAGAAACCGTGTTCTGAAGAGAACAGCAAGGGTATGCTAGGAAAACCATCTGATAAAGAGATCAGGGCGTGTCTCTGGAGTTATCAGTCATTTCAGCTGAAACCAAAAGTAGAATGGGATGGTTATCAGTAAATATGCTGATCTAAAGGGCTCTTGGACTTCTTACTCCTGTGGGCTGGGCAATAGAGTTTCTCAGCTGCCAACATGAGCTGTGTGTTAAGGAAAGATCCGGAAGGTAAATCAGGGCTCAGCAGAGCAGAACCTGTACTGCTCTTTCAGGGG